AAGAGACGTGGGCATTTGTTAGCACACAGAAGGCTCTTCTCTCTCTCAATGGGACCCCATCCACCGTAGCCTGCAGGAAGCTTGGGGTTCTGGGAGGGAGCCTCGTGTAAAGAGCAGGGGTACCAGAGCCCCTGGGGAGCGGGGCCTGTGAAAGGCTGGTGGTGCACCAGCCACGGCACCCAGGGAACATGTGTGTTTTCTTCTGGGGGAGATGTGGTCCCTGGTTTGCCATGTTGCTCTGTGGGTGGAGCCTGTGTGGCTCTCCAGCATCCCCCTTCTTGGTGACTGTGGGTGTCCTTCTGGGTCTCCTGCATTGTCTGGCATTGGTCACGGTGGGGCCCGAGGTTGGGGGGCTGGAAGCTAACAGAGCTGCCACGTCCTCTGCCGCAGCGAGGCTGTCTGGGAGAACATGGCACGCGTGTGTGTGAAGACCCAGCGGCTGGACGTCGCCAAGGTGTGCCTGGGCAACATGGGCCATGCACGTGGAGCCCGCGCCCTGCGGGAAGCTGAGCAGGAACCAGAGCTGGAGGCCCGGGTGGCTATGCTGGCGATACAACTGGGCATGCTGGTGAGTCAGGCAGCGGACCAGTGGGCCTCCCATCGAGAGCGAGGCGCCCCTCGCTCCTTGGCCAGCTGGGCTCTGGGGCCACTTCAGACGGGAGGCCATAGTGTGTTCTAATCTGGGCCGTTCAGTTGCAGGGAACACAAACCCTCTTAAACTAGCTTAAGCCAAAAAGGTGTGGAGCCCCCAAGGCCTCTCCCCTCTGCCTGGTCTCCACCCTGCCCACTGCACGTTTGCAGAGCTCATGGCCCATCGTACCCCAGAAGGCCCAGAGAGGCTAATGAAACTCCGGAGGCAGAGGCTGAGTGGCTGGACAGTGTGGGCTGTGGCCAGCGCAGCTCAGATGGCCCAAGGCTACGTGGAGACTGTGGAGGGCAGACCCTTTGAGAGGAAGGCTGGGAGGCACCCACGTGTCTGCTATATAGGGGAGCTGAGCATACCTGAGTTGTCAGCCCTTGCCCCTGTTCTGTAGGGGTGAGTGCAGACCATTCTGAGGGCATTGCACGGGGCAGGGTCTTCTCCCTCATGGCATGCAGGGACAGCCCCACTAGAGACAGGCCTGGTGGGGTCAGCGATTCCTGGGGACGGGGATGCCACATTGGCACGTGGCATTCATCTTGTACATCTCAGAGTACATCCTGAAGTGTCCTACTATCCTCAGTGTGTTATGCCTTTTTGTCATGGGCTGTTGATGGCACGTGCAGCATCCATGGTCGGCCGCGTGGTGGCCAGAGCAGTAACTGGGCTGACATGCACGCTCCTCCTTTCAGGAGGAGGCCGAGCAGCTGTACAAGAAATGCAAGCGTTATGACCTTCTCAACAAGCTCTACCAGGCCTCCAGTCAGTGGCAGAAAGCCATAGAAGTCGCCGAACTCCAGAACCGTGTCCACCTGCGCACCACGTACTATAACTACGCCAAGCACCTGGAGACCAGCTCTGACTGCAGCCTGGCCCTCAGCTAGTGAGCGAGGGGCCTCTCTGGACTCACCCTGAGATGGGCCCTGGTTGCTACTTGTTTTTTCTCTGCCCCAGTGAAATGGCTGTAGAGGTTCTCAGAGGAAAATTCTAGATGGAGGTGCCATCTCAGGGCAGGGGGTGACCTCCTCAGTGGGAGGCTTCAAGGGGAGCTTGAGTTGTTGCTTTAGGAGAACCTCAGAGATGGAGCCACCGCTCCACCTAGCCTGGCTCCGGGATCTGGGCATGTTAAGGAAAGTCTCCTCCAAGGCCCAGGATCGGCTGGTAGTGTTACCGCAGCCCCGATCTGGCATGGTGCCACCCATGGTGATGCTGGTGCCCAGGGACCCAGCCACAACTGAGCCCTGTCCAGGGCAGGCTCACAAGCAGCGCGGAAGCCCCACTGCTTCCCGACAGCAGGCCCACGGGCCACAGAGCTACCGTGGGGGAATGAGGCTCCGGCCTGTTTGCACACAGTCAACACCAGGGCTGAGCTGGTGGGAACCAGCTACTCTTTCTCTCCTCTCACAGCTACGAGAAATCAGACACCCACCGCTTCGAGGTGCCCAGGATGCTGTCAGAGGACCTACAGTCCCTGGAGCTCTACATCAATAAGACGAAGGACAAGTAAGTGTCCCCCACAGGGCGCGGGGCCGTGGCAAGCGGAAGCTGGAGGCCTGGGGGCTGCTCAGGGAACCTCCTTCCGGAGTTCCACATGTGAGAGTGTGAAGCATCCTCTTGGTCCCTTACAGCGGGTCCCCAGGACGCCGGGTGGGGTGACTTTTCCTCTGGGTGAGGTTCCTTCAGATCCGGGGGACCTCACTCTTGTCCATCCAGCTTCTACATCTCCGGGCTGCTGGTCACGGGAGGTGTCCTCTGCCCGTGTCATTTGGGACCTGGGAACTCATTTCTAGTGGGAGTGGGGACCTGAGGGAGAACTTGTGGGCCGCTTGCAGGACCCTGTGGAGGTGGTGGGCCCAGTATCTGGAAAGCCAGGCAGAGATGGACGCCGCGCTGAACTACTACAACCTGGCACAGGACCACTTCTCCCTGGTCCGCATTCATTGCTTCCAGGGCAACATCCAGAAGGTAGGCACTTTCTGGGAGTTAGGCCTGTGGCGGGGGGACGGGGGGAGGCAGGAAGCCAGAGCCCGAGCCCCCGCGGTCTCCCTGGTGTCTTTATAGGCTGCTAAAATAGCCAACGAGACCGGAAACTGGGCCGCGTCCTATCACCTGGCCCGGCAGTATGAGAGCCAGGACGAGGTGAGGCAGGCAGTGCACTTCTACACGCGGGCTCAGGCCTTCAACAATGCTATTCGTCTGTGCAAGGTAAGGGGCTGCGTGCACCACCCGGGCCACGGATGGAGCTCCGCGGCCTCAACAGTCAAACCCAGGCAGGCGGGAAATGTAGCATCTTTGCCATTTCCCACATTCTGTTACGAGAGTTGCAACAGAAAACTTAAAGAATTGTGCCATAAGCATCACATCCCCCGCCCAGTCCGGTTTCTACCACCCAGGCCTCACTCTGCCTGCCACTTGCATCTTCCCCTCCTTCCGCTATCCTGTCCTCTCTGATGGTGATTGTAAAGCACGGAGTTGTCACTGTGATGTCTCCCAGGGCCCCTGAGCGCTCTCGCTGAGGCTGGCTCATTGCTGATGGCCTTGTAAACAGCAGGCCCTTCACAGGAAGCTGTGGAATGTTCTGCATCCATAATAATGTTCCAAGGGCCGGCTGAGTGGCTCAGTTGGTTAAGAGCTCGCTCAAGAGTTTGAGCTCTGAGCAACAGCAGTTCGAGTCAGCCCGAGCTGAGCAGCCTCTGAGCTGCCAACAGGTGGCAGGATGGCTCAGCTTAAAATAAATAAATAAATAAATAAATAAAAATAATGTTCCAGTCCAGGGCCTCGCTTCTGGAAAAATCCAAAATGTGGAAAGTCCTTATGTCAGATAGCTCCTGTAACGCTCTGTATAATAGGAAAAAAAGGGAACTTCTAAGAATTCTGGTGCACAAACCCAGTACCAGTAAAACATTATGACTGACACTCGTTGGAAACCACGATTGTGTCAAGCGAGGACGGTAAGACCCCCACAGACCTGAGTGCCGCCCCACCCCTCCCCACAGGAGAATGGCCTGGACGACCAGCTCATGAACTTGGCCCTGCTGAGCTCCCCCGAGGACATGATTGAGACAGCACGCTATTATGAGGAAAAGGGCGAGCAGATGGACAGGGCGGTCATGCTGTACCACAAGGTGAGGGGTTGGCCCTGCCCTGGACCTGAGGGACCACAGCACACGGCTCCCCAGGACCAGGGGGACTTGCCTGTGTACGAGGGGACCCCTTGCGCCGTCTCGGGACCTGGGGCTCAGGCAGCTGCTCAGAGTTGCCCTGCTATCCGCAGGCTGGCCACTTCTCCAAGGCCTTGGAGCTGGCTTTCGCCACCCAGCAGTTTGTGGCCCTGCAGCTCATCGCTGAAGACCTGGACGAGAAGTCGGACCCTGCCCTCCTGGCCCGCTGCTCAGACTTCTTCCTTGAGCACAGTCAGTACGAGAAGGCGGTGGAGCTGCTGCTGGCTGCCAAGAAGGTATGGGGTCGGCGGGGCCTGCACCAGGCACACACTCGGGCACTGAAGCCCGAGGATCACTGTTTCCACAAACACAGTGGATGTGGCTTCGCCATCTCTCGTGATTATGATTTCATGAGGAAGCCGTGGCTCCAGCCTGCCTGAGGTGAAGGGGCTGAGAGCAAGCTCACCTTGACCAGCTGATCCGCGTGTGGACTCACTCACTGCCCATTTCACTGGTGTCTTCAAATTATAACTAGGGAGTTTCACTCATCTTGTTTGTATTTACAAACCATTTACCATCTTGTGTGGTAAAGTACAGGTAACATGAAATTTAAAATTTACCCTCTTAGCTGTGTTCTAAGTGTACATAAAGTTCAATAGTGTTAAGTATTAATACATTCACATTTTCATGCAACTAATCTCCAGAACTCTTTTCATTTTGCAAAGCTGAAACTCTGTCCCCATTAAACAACAACTCTCCCTTCTCCTCCCCCAGCCCTGGAACCCTCCATTCTATTTTCTGTCTCTATGAATTTGACTGCTCTAGGGTCATCATGTAAATGGAATCATCCTGTTTTTGTCCTTTTGTGACTGGCTTATTTCACTGAGCGTAATGTCCTCAGGGTTCATCCATGTTGTGGCATATTGCAGAATTTCTTTCCTATTTAAGACTAAATAATATTTCATTGTATGTATATTTTTGCTTATCAGTTTACCCATAGATGGACACTTGGGTTGTTCTACCTTTTAACTATTATGAATAATGTTACTATGAACAACGGTGTACAAATATCTCTTCAAGACCCTTCTTTCAATTCTTTTGGGTATTCTCCCAGAAATGGAATTGCCAAATCATGTGGTAGCTCTGTTTTAATTTTTTGAGGAATCGCCATACTGTTTTCCACAGTGGCCGCACCATTTTACAGCCCTACCAGTGGCACACAAGGGTTCCAGTTTCCCCACATCCTTACCAACACTTGTTGTTTTCTAGTTTTTGATGGTAGCCATTTTCAGGGGTATATACACTAATCTTTTTTTAGGAGAAAACTTCCCCTTCCCCTTGATAGAAACTGAGTGGAGATACAGAAAATTGGTAATCATACAAAATTAGCTCGTCCAAATTGAAAGATCTTTCTTCCTGCAGCCAGAATTACACAGTTTTGTCTCTCGCTACTGAGTGATACAAGAATTCTTGAACAAATGAAAAGGCACCCACCATGTTCTTGGTTAGAACGACCCAACAGATGTACATCTGATCCTCCCTAAGGCAGCCTCAGACTTTATCTGACCCCACGAGAAACACCATGGGGCTTTTTTTAGCTGATAAATAGATTCTGTAGTTTCACAGTGAAAACCAGATAAGCCAGAATAGTCAAGAAAAATCTGGAAAAGAAGACTAACTGGTTATTGAACCTCCCAAATCATAAAGTATATCAAAGCTAGAAAAATTGGGGTCTGGTGTTTGATCAGGCCTACGGATCAGTGGAAAGGACTAAAAAATCCAGGAGTAGAGCCGTATATGTATGCACGTTTAGCATGTGATGCAGGAGCATTCACAACAGTGGAGAAAAGATGAATTGTTGGCATTGATACAGCTAGGTATCAACTGGGAAAAACCAAGTTAAATCTTACACATCCCCTACATCCGAGTAAATTCCTGATGGGTTGAAGATTCAAGTATATCAGTAAAATAGCAGTAGTTCCACCAGACGCCATGAGGTGTCTTGTGCGGTCTTAAAGGGAGGGAAGGCATTTTCTAAGTATGATTTAAGCTCCAAAGTCATAGTGGGAAAAACTGATCAATTCACCCAAATACAAATTAGAAAATGGCACATGGGGAAAAAAACACCATAAACAAAGATAAATAATAAAATGGGAAAAAAGATATTCTGCCTATATCCCAAAAGCTAATTTCCTTAATATATATAGAGCTACTATAAACCAATGAGAAAGTTACCAAAGACTCAAAAGGAAAGACCAAATAACATGAATGGTTTACTTTAAAAGGGAAACATGGATGGTTCCTGAGGGTCAGATACTCAGTCTCAGTCATTAAGGAGAAAGATACAGATCAAAACTCAAGGAGATTCCTTTTTTTTTTTTAAGATTATATTGGGGAATTGGGGGAGGGGAACAGCGTTGGGGAATCGGGGAAGGGGAACAGACAAGTTGCTGTCTTTTTTGTTCTTCAGTCTAGTTGTGGAGGNAAAAAAGGGGAGAGTTTGGTGCAGAGAAGGTGATTTCTTGCCTGAAGCTGCTGGAAGGGTAAGGGGCCTGGCCCTGCAGACCTCGCTGCTGCACTGCTGGCCCCGGGCAGGAGACTGAACTGCAGCCCCCTGACCTGGTGGGGTTCCAAGGCCTCTGCTCTCTCAGATCCTGTTAATGATCAGAATTCTGAAGGCTCAGGCAGGGCCATTAGGTAAATGTCCGCAGCACTGAGGCTACAAGTCGGACCCTGCACGTGCCCGGAGTACCCCCTTTCTCACCAGAACCTTGGCTGCACCTCTCGGAGGCAGCTGGTCCTGGGCCTGTGAGCGGAGACCCCTAAGTTCCTCATGCTGCTCACCTGAGGCCAGGTGGGGAGAAGCAGCCCCACCCACCTGCTCTAGGGTCTGCCCTGGCGGAGGCTGGGCTTCAGCTGGAGGGAGGGCCTCAGGGGAGCAGCCAGGGATGCGAGGGGAGGGGTCCGGGAATCTTCTTTGTGTGTGTGCATGGGCATGTGGCTGTCCCTACCTGTCTGTGCCCAAGTGTCAGGGTGCGTGTACCTGTGGTGTGGGTCCACGTGTATAAGCGTGTGTGCATATGCGTGGGCTGCAGGTTTTATGATAGGAAGACGTCTGTTTGATTGATGGGAGCAGTCTGCACTCACCCCTACAGACCAGGGGCCGAGGGCTGACCAGGTATACTCAGCTCGTCCATGTGGCGGTGAGCTCACACCAAGATGTTTGTTTGGAAAAGGCCTGGGTCTGAGCTCAGGGTGGACAGCACCAGGCCCAAATGGCCTGGGGACCACCAAGAAGAGAGGCCAGAGAGCATACCCTCAGGCAGCCCCTGTGAGGACACTGAGTTTGTGGCGTATCGTCATTCCTACAGGGTGGCCATTTAGTGTCTGAGATCATTTCCAGGCTCTCGCTGAGCCTGGTGGGCCAGGAGCCCCAGATCAGTGTTGTGGAGAGAAAACATTCTAGAAACCACACAACGAGTAGGAAGACCCTGTGCCCCCCTGAACTTTTGTTTGGTGGTGCGCCCAGCCATGTGCTATGGTAACATGGGCACAGGGACAGGTGAGAAGCAGGAGTCCTGGGCACCTGCATGTGCAGCTCTTCTGTCCCACTCCTCGGCGCCTTGCACGCCCCCAGACCGTCACCTCCACTCAGCTCTGGGACAGGGAGACTGTCCTGGACCACCCTGTGGGTGTGGTGGGTGTGACGAAGAGAAGCTAGTGTTTGCTGAGCTGATGGACCTACTGAGGCAAGAAAGAGACGTGGGCATTTGTTAGCACACAGAAGGCTCTTCTCTCTCTCAATGGGACCCCATCCACCGTAGCCTGCAGGAAGCTTGGGGTTCTGGGAGGGAGCCTCGTGTAAAGAGCAGGGGTACCAGAGCCCCTGGGGAGCGGGGCCTGTGAAAGGCTGGTGGTGCACCAGCCACGGCACCCAGGGAACATGTGTGTTTTCTTCTGGGGGGGATGTGGTCCCTGGTTTGCCATGTTGCTCTGTGGGTGGAGCCTGTGTGGCTCTCCAGCATCCCCCTTCTTGGTGACTGTGGGTGTCCTTCTGGGTCTCCTGCATTGTCTGGCATTGGTCACGGTGGGGCCCGAGGTTGGGGGGCTGGAAGCTAACAGAGCTGCCACGTCCTCTGCCGCAGCGAGGCTGTCTGGGAGAACATGGCACGCGTGTGTGTGAAGACCCAGCGGCTGGACGTCGCCAAGGTGTGCCTGGGCAACATGGGCCATGCACGTGGAGCCCGCGCCCTGCGGGAAGCTGAGCAGGAACCAGAGCTGGAGGCCCGGGTGGCTATGCTGGCGATACAACTGGGCATGCTGGTGAGTCAGGCAGCGGACCAGTGGGCCTCCCATCGAGAGCGAGGCGCCCCTCGCTCCTTGGCCAGCTGGGCTCTGGGGCCACTTCAGACGGGAGGCCATAGTGTGTTCTAATCTGGGCCGTTCAGTTGCAGGGAACACAAACCCTCTTAAACTAGCTTAAGCCAAAAAGGTGTGGAGCCCCCAAGGCCTCTCCCCTCTGCCTGGTCTCCACCCTGCCCACTGCACGTTTGCAGAGCTCATGGCCCATCGTACCCCAGAAGGCCCAGAGAGGCTAATGAAACTCCGGAGGCAGAGGCTGAGTGGCTGGACAGTGTGGGCTGTGGCCAGCGCAGCTCAGATGGCCCAAGGCTACGTGGAGACTGTGGAGGGCAGACCCTTTGAGAGGAAGGCTGGGAGGCACCCACGTGTCTGCTATATAGGGGAGCTGAGTATACCTGAGTTGTCAGCCCTTGCCCCTGTTCTGTAGGGGTGAGTGCAGACCATTCTGAGGGCATTGCATGGGGCAGGGTCTTCTCCCTCATGGCATGCAGCGACAGCCCCACTAGAGACAGGCCTGGTGGGGTCAGCGATTCCTGGGGACGGGGATGCCACATTGGCACGTGGCATTCATCTTGTACATCTCAGAGTGCATCCTGAAGTGTCCTACTATCCTCAGTGTGTTATGCCTTTTTGTCATGGGCTGTTGATGGCACGTGCAGCATCCATGGTCGGCCGCGTGGTGGCCAGAGCAGTAACTGGGCTGACATGCACGCTCCTCCTTTCAGGAGGAGGCCGAGCAGCTGTACAAGAAATGCAAGCGTTATGACCTTCTCAACAAGCTCTACCAGGCCTCCAGTCAGTGGCAGAAAGCCATAGAAGTCGCCGAACTCCAGAACCGTGTCCACCTGCGCACCACGTACTATAACTACGCCAAGCACCTGGAGACCAGCTCTGACTGCAGCCTGGCCCTCAGCTAGTGAGCGAGGGGCCTCTCTGGACTCACCCTGGGATGGGCCCTGGTTGCTGCTTGTTTTTTCTCTGCCCCAGTGAAATGGCTGTAGAGGTTCTCAGAGGAAAATTCTAGATGGAGGTGCCATCTCAGGGCAGGGGGTGACCTCCTCAGTGGGAGGCTTCAAGGGGAGCTTGAGTTGTTGCTTTAGGAGAACCTCAGAGATGGAGCCACCGCTCCNGAGCTGTTGTTCAGCATCTTAGCTGTAAAGGGCAGTGTCACTGGCCCTCATATGTGGGATCCGAACCGGGGTCCTCTGGCATCCCAAGCCAGCTCTTAACCAACACACCACTTGGCCGGCCCTAGTTTATTGATTCTTAAACCTTGCAGTGCATTCACATCACTGGGGAACCTAGGGAAGATGCATCTGCTGTGGCTGCCTGTCCTTGCCTTCCACCTCCAGTCCCCAGATTCCGGTTCCCGAATGTTCCCATGGGGCCTCTCAAGCCAGAGTTCAGCTGCTGGGCTACACTTCCTGACGTTTGGAGACATACAAGCCTGGGTTTCAGGCGCTGCCTGGGTATGAGCAGGGGACTGCTCCCTTGCGCATCTGGATTCTTAGGACTGTCCTCAGAGAATTTGATGGTAGACAGTGTACCTAGCTTTGCTTGGCCTCCGCTTCTTACCTAGTGAAATAGTGATTGTCACCATACCTCAGAGGGTGACTGTGAGGATCATGGTCTTGTGTCTCAGAGTGCGTTGTCGGCTATGTGCCGTGGTCATTGACACCCTTGGGAAGCAGCAGAGCAGTGTGGAAAGCTCATAGGGCTTGGAACCTACCTAAGTTTTCCCTTCTGTAAATTTAGTGAAAATGACATCAACCTTAAATGATGGGTTTGAGGATTAATTTTAAAAACTCAAAGATTTCAATAAAAGTGAGTTCATTCGCTTCATCAAAGACAAAAAACAATTAAGAAAAGTTTTGTCCCATGGTTCCCAAGAGCTCCTCTTTGGGGCAGAGGGCCTGCTCTGACCTCTGACATCCAGCCCAGTCCTGGGTTATGGCTCAGGCTGTCTGTGCTCTCGGCAGGATGTACAGCGAGGACCCCAAGGAGTCAGTCAAGCAGTGCGAGCTGCTCCTGGAGGAGCCGGACCTGGACAGCACCATCCGCATTGGGGACGTCTGTGGCTTCCTGGTGGAGCATTACCTGCAGACGGAGGAGTTCCAGATGGTAAGGGTCCCGGATAACGGATGCTCAGCTTCCCAAGGGGGGCCTCCCCCTGCAGCAGCCCCACCCTCAACCTGCAGGAGCCTGGAGCTCACCGTGGAAGAGGCACCTATCCTGTTTTGTTTTTGACTTTGTAGCCTTTTTTTGTATTTTGAAATAATTTCAAACTGAGAAGTTATAAGAATAGCGACACCCAAGTGTTCCCTTTACCAGAGTCACCAGTTTTTCACATTTTGCCGCATTTATTTATTCATGCTGCATATGTGTTTTTACATTTCTATTTTATACGTGATATGGGCATTTTTTGGAGCCATTTGAGAGGCGCCGACGTCCTGCCACTTCCCTCTTAGATGGCTACTACTTGGGTAGACACCAGGGCGTGAAATTGCTGGGTCACAGGGTGAGTGTATGTTTAACGTTCTAAGAAACTACCAAACTTGATCTCCTTGTTGGAAGTGTCTTTTTCGTGGTTTTTATCAGCATTATTCTAGTCTTACAAAACACATTGGGGCATGTGCCCACCTCCTGTATTTTCTAAAAGAGTTTATGTAAAACTGGTGTCATTTCTTCCTTAACTGTTTGATAGAATGCATACGTGAACGTACCTGCGCCTGGAGCTTTCTTTGTGGAAGGTTTTTGATATTTCAATTTAACAGCGAGGTTCTCACACATTAGGTCTCAGGACCCCTTTGTGCTAGGAAAGCTATCGAGGACCCCATTTACGTCAATTGCCAGTATTTATTGTATTAGAAATAAAACTAATAAATTTATAAAATATTTGTTAATTCGCTTAAAAATAAAATAACCCAGTATATCTTAACACAAATAACATTTTCATGAAAAATAACTATATGTTCCAAAACAAAGAAGTTTAGTGAGAAAAGTAGCATTGTTTTACATTTTTGCAAATATCTGAGACAGCTGGAGTCTCAATTTCTGTTTCTGCATTCAATTTGGTAAAATAGGTGGTTTTAGTTCAAATATATAAAGAAAATCCAGCCTCACACCTAATGTGAGAGTGGGAGGGGTATTTAATAGCTTTCCCAGATGTTTGTAGATATTTTTTGATACTACACCAACAAGTGCCATTTCATAAAAGTTAGCTACAGTGAGAAATCTGAAATCATCCCAGTGTACTTTTTGTACTCTGCCACATTGAACCCATTCGTCTATCTTGATTTTGTAACATCGTGTTGGTCATTTGGAACATGTTGGTTCACTGCGTTATACAAACAGACATTTCATTATACATATTTTAAAAATCTCATTTGCTAACATCACCACCGATCTCATCAGAAACGTCTTTACATATTGGAAAGATGTCCAGCTCATGGTGGCCAGTACGTAAGGTTTCTGAAATTCTAACTTTACTTTGACAGCTCGGATTTTATCTTTAGCAAAAATGCTGTCGGTTTCTCTTTTCCTTAAAGTGGCAGGCTCACTTTGTTCATTTTTTGAGAGAAAGTCTACCCCCTACCCAAGTCTGAATAACCACAGTGTATCTTTCATTCGTTGAAACAAATAAAAAAGGTGTTCCATGTAAGTAACTAATTTAGCTCACAACCCACAAGAGTACATTTTCTTATCTTCGCCCACATTTGGTGTGATCAGCCTCTTTCTTCATTTCAGCTGTCCTGTTGGGTGGGTAGTGGTATCTCCTTGTGGTTTTAAAGTCCACTTTCTTAGTGACTAATTGATGACTCACTGGCTGTCCCCTCCTATGAACGCTCAAATCCTTTACCATTGTTTTACTAGGTTACAATCAGTCTTATTGTTGATTGTGGTCTTTATATATTCTAGATACATTTCCTGGATCAGACCTAGATCTGCCAGTGTTTCCCCGCAGCCTGTAGGAAGTTCCCCTCAATTCCTTTCTCCTCTCCTTCTGAATTCCAGTTATTTATATATATTGTCCCCTTGGCTCAACTTACTTTCTTCTGTTTTTTTTCCTAGAATTTTTTTTCCTGTTGCACTTTTTTTTTTTTTTAAGATTTTTTTATTGGGGAATTAGGGGAAGGGAACAGACAGGTTGCTGTCCTTTTGTTCTTCAATCTAGTTGTGGAGGANGCAATGATAATACCAACATGGGCCAGTGAAGCGACGTCCTCCACAACTAGACTGAAGAACAAAAGGACAGCAACTTGTCTATTCCCCTTCCCCGATTCCCCAATGCTGTTTCCTACCCCATTTCCCCGATAAAATCTTTAAAAAAAAAAAAAAGAAAGAAAATTAAACCCCTTAATTTTAAAATTTGAAAAGGATTATAGAAGAAAATTCCTGTTTTCCTTTTCTTCCCACAAGTATAAGATTCTTTTGAGCTCCACATTTCATTCATCGTGTTCCAGAATGTTAATGACCTGAGAGACAGTCATGCGCTGCCCCTGCGCCTAGGCCCGGCTTCCAGTGAGGAGATGGCAGGCGGGCGGGAGGATAACAGCCTGTCTCGGTGTCTGTGGTGCATTTCCAGTACCAGGAGGCCCTGCAGCTCTGCCTGGAGCAGAACATGACCATCACCGAGGAGATGGCCGAGAAGATGACCGTGGCCAAGGACTGCACGGATCTGTCGGAAGAGTCGCGACGTGACCTGCTAGAGCAGATCGCCAACTGCTGTATGCGCCAGGGCAAGTACCACCTGGCGACTAAGAAGTACACACAGGCCGGGAACAAGCTCAAGGTGAGTGGGCCGGCAGCTGGGGGTGGGGTGGGGGCAAGGTCAGGGGGTGGGGGGGAACATGTGTCCACCGCATGGTTTTCTGTTTATCCCAAGTTTAACCCAAATGGGTGAGCTTACCCAGCCCGGGCTCTGAAGGGCGCCTGTGGGGACCGCGAGTCCTGAGCTTGGTCCTGTCATGGACCCAGCAGGCGGTGTCTGCTACAGCAGCGGGCTGGTGACGGGACATGCTTCCTGAGCCCCTAGCCTGACCCTGGCTCCTCTGTCTAGGCCATGAGAGCGCTGCTCAAGTCTGGGGACACAGAGAAAATCGTGTTCTTCGCGGGCGTCTCGAGGCAAAAGGAAATCTACATCATGGCAGCCAACTACCTGCAGTCCCTGGACTGGCGGAAGGAGCCGGAGACCATGAAGAACATCATCAGCTTCTACACCAAGGGGCGGGCCCTGGACCTGCTGGCTGGCTTCTATGATGCCTGTGCTCAGGTACAGCCCCTCTTCATAGTTCCGGGGCCCGGGGGCGGGTCGTGGGCTTGAGAGTCCTAACGGTCTCATCCGCACAGGTGGAGATCGACGAATACCAGAACTACGAGAAGGCCCATGGGGCGCTGACTGAGGCCTACAAGTGCCTGTCCAAGGCCAAGGCCAAGAGCCCCCTGGACCAAGAGACCAAGCTGGCTCAGCTGCAGAGCAAGATGACGCTGGTGAAGCGGTTCATCCAGGCGCGCAGGTGCGTTCCCACAGGGAGGGGGGCCAGGTGCTCTGCACCTCGGGCCTCGGAGGCCTCGTGGGGCCCCCAGGCTCCTGCGTGCACCTCCTGACTCTCCAGCACCCCCTCCCTGGCAGAGTTCAGACCCAGGTTCTATTTCCAATAAATATTCTTCAAAGGAAATCCCTAGATGACTAGACAGGAACCCGGGGCATTGCTGTGGCTTCATTCATGTCTGAGCTCCTCTTAGGGGTCCCCTCAGAACCTGGACACACTCTTGGGAAGATTGTTCCAGAAACAGCCAGAGACCATTGAGAGAGAGATCTGGTGGGGGAGCAGGGAGGAATGGCAGATTTGCGTCAGGAGAGAGCATGTCTGAGGGGAGCCTGGACCTGCTCAGCTACATGCAGGGGTTCAGCAGGGTGGTTCTAAGTGAAGGGGCCCTTTGTACCCCTGGACTAGCAGGGACTGTGGTGACCAGACACCTGCTCCTCTCCACGGGAGCAGCTTGGGGCCTGTGGCAAGGAAGCTCGGGCAGCACGTTCTCTGTTTTTAGGAGAACCGAGATTTGTACATGACACTAGTTTTTATCTATTGGCAATAGATCCAGCTTTTCCAAGAGCCCACTGTGTAGGCAGCAGCTCAGCTTCTGCCTAAACCAATGAAAGTATTTTCCTTATCTGAGAACAGACTTTCAAAAGAAGAGTTCCAAACATAGTTTTCACACTTGTGCAAAGTGGGGCTCTTTAAAGGGCACTTCCCAACTCAGACGTGTGAAGTTCTGGAATATCTGCTGAGCCTGGGCTGAGGAGGGAGAAGGGAAGAGATTGGACAGCAAGGACCATGCAACCACAGGCAGGGTGTTGGGGACAGAAGGTGTTGTAGAGCCGGAGGGCTGTCTGCCTGGAGTGGCCACGTCAGGGCTCGCTGGTCCTTTTGTGATGGGAGCCTGAGCCCCTCTCGAGGCTCTGGCCACTGGCTCTGGACCAAGTCCTGCTCTGGGCAGGCTTACGAGGCCCTCCTGGTCCTGGCCCCGATCACACACCACACACTGCTCTGCCACAGACCCCGAGTATATCCCTGCACTGGCCGTTGTTCATGCCAACCCCCTCCCTGCCTGACCACCTCAGGCCCCCGCGTCCCCCTCTGCATCACACTGTCCCCTTTAGACTGTTCCCTGGTCAGGAACTAGTGTCGACAAACCTTTGCTCTAGCGTAATACTGTCGCTGAGCAGTCAGTAAATTTTTGTTAAATAAATGATGGAATTTATCAATTAACTTATTAATGAATGAATTTAACCCATGGGAATTACCTTCATACAAATTTTGTCCCCAATCCCCTTGCCTTTTCCAGCCTTGTGAGTCGGCCTCTAGAACTCGGGGTGGGGGTGTGAGAAAGGGCTATGGAAAGCAACCCTCAGCCTCGGGTGGTCGGAGCAGAGCGGGGGTGGTCTCTGTCCATGCACCCTGACCACAATCGTCGTCCTGGCTGTGGGACAACTGTGAGGCTGTGGGGGTTAACCATGGTACCTAACGTGGATTAGGATTAGGACTCAGGGTAATATCCTGGGGAAATATCCTCGGGGTCAAGGAGTTTCAGGACCAATTTTAAGTTTTTTAATTTCTCACCTTTTGGTTCTAAAAGCAGATTAAGAGGCTTTAATGGACTGATGTTAAGTGCAGAATGAGACAGCTCCCGATCCGTTTTCCTTAGTTTATTGATTTTTTTTTT